ATTATAAGTACAAGAGTACTTTAAGGTTTTGCGTGATGAAAAAATTTCAACCATTATACTCATTGTAATTCCATGTACTACACTGTTTCCTTTCTTCACATTGTCAGTAAAAAAGATAAAAAAATTGAATGAAGTCTTTAAATTTCGAGTGTGTGAATATTTTAATTAATTAGTAATCTACATGAGTAAGAGATTGTGATATTTTAATTAATTAGTTGTATATTTTGCTCTTAATAAATTGTAACCTGAACAAATCTTAATTTAAAATGGAGAAATCTCAATTTAAAAATTACGAAAATGTATAGTTTTAAAACTTTATATTGGTGTTAATGGTTTAAATAGTTTAATAATAAATTTTTTAATAAAAATAAGGGATTTTCAATTTAAATTATACAACATATAAGTAAAGTTAAAAAACATCTCTAATTATATAATTTAAGATAAAAAATTCATATTATTCAACAAATCTTGCCTAATATTTAAAATTTAAGGAGAAATTACTTTTGACATAATATTATTTTTTATTAAAATATGTCTTAATTAACTAACTAGTAAGAACATTAATTTGTGCAAGTGAGATTCTTACATAGTCTTTTAACTTATACCTAAGACTCTTGTATATATATCCGAGCTCTGATTCTGAGTAGTAATAATTCATGGTATCTAGTACTAAATACACCAGGCTTTTGAATGAAACAGTATAGGTTTGACTGGAAACCAGGTGATGAGCAGAAAATGTATGGTCTTGGTGAAAATGAAAGAAAGAGATTACTTACTTTTCTCCTTTTTTTTTTTTTTTTTTTTTTTCTCTTTGTACAGGTGAATATATATATATATACACACAACTTAATTCTGTGCAAATTCGAAACAACCCATGTTACCTCATTGGCAAACAAATCAGGAGGTGGGGGTGACGATGACGTATGATGGCAATCCAGAACTGAGCATCCAAAGGCTGGCCATGCCACCCACACAGATGATTAATCAGCTGTCTGCCTCGCCATGTTGTAGCAAGAAGATAACTTGTCAAGGTATTTCATGGGATTTGATTCTTACATTTCCCACAGTGAAATATATTCTTCTTTGAGGTGTGGTTTATGGCCAGAGTCCGCAGAATATGTTAAGACTACATAATTGCATTTAATCTTATTTATATTTTATCAGTTTATAATTATTTTTAAAATTAATTGATTATAATGTTTAAAAATATTAATTTATAAATTAATTTTAATATATTAAAAAATAAATAGTAATTATTTTTAATAAATAAACTAAACCAAAATTATATTTTTTAAAAACAATATTATATGACCTTAATATATTTATGTGTGCCCATCGATAACGTGACAGAGTTGAACATGCCGTGTTAGGTTCATTTACTGTACTTGCACACCATCAAAAACAGTAAAAACAGAGAAAATAGTGAGGAGGATGATGATAAAAATTAGGTTTAAAATCCAAGTTTGAATATTTTCATCATTATTTCAGTGTAAATAATACTAATGAAATCATGCAGATTTGCGGTGAGTTTTTGAAGGTTTTCTCCCATTTATGAGGGAAATAGTACAATTTCTCTCACGTGCATGACAGAATTATAGATGTTTGGCTATTCCTAGTTTTAAAAATGAGGGAGCTAGGAGAGACACGATTGGAAGGGCTCTGAAAAAATATCCACAGATCCCTTTCCAATAAACAGAGGAGATGAGATAAGATTTGTCCAATTAGAGAAAAAGTCGTGTTCCTATGCTCTCCTCTCATTCTCATCTCCCTTTCTTCTCTCTCTGGGTGTGTCTATATATTATATAATTTGGGTACGATTTATTTTATGGAGTTAAATGTCTTTTTTCATTTGGAGTTTCAAACAAAACCCCACCTCAGTTTCCAGGTGGATTCAGACACCCTAGAAAAGGGTGTATGGCAGTGGGACTAGTTGTTAACTTTCAGTACATGTTGGGCAAACATAATGGAGGTTGTTGTGTTGTGTTTTGCAAATTTGTCTATTGTACAAACAACATGTTTGTGTCATCTTATTCACTGTCTTTACATGTAATTTGAAGTGTGTGATTCACGCAATTTGGTCTGAATCATTGGTGCATTAATCAAATTAGGATATCTAATCCAACGGTCCAAATCTAGGCACATTGATTAGGTAATCCTAACTCTCCAAAGGGTACTCTTATCTTCTTTCAGAACCTGTAATTTTTTATGGGTTTCTCAGAGTGTAAGATTCTTTGACCATAAAGAAAGGGCAGATTAGGGGGAGATGTGGAATCTGCCATGTAATTCTTGAAGGGTTTCTTACCTTGTTTTATTTTTTATTTATTTATTTATTTATTTATTTTTGTTTTAGTATACTGGGAGTTAATATTATAAGGGTTTGAATGTTGGACCATAACCTCAACAAATCAAAACCCTTTTAGTTGAGCAATGATAGTTGATTACTAATTTTTAAGATGAAGCTATGATAATATTAATTATCATGTGAATTTATGTCATGTGAGTCTCAAACAAACCTACATAATCAATAATTAAAATAATTTCATCTTAAAATTTAATTTCATGAATTATTATTATTTTTAGTTAATAAATATTAACTTAATTAAATTAAAGTTTTATTGGTTAAAAAATCTTATTATTTTAGTTTTTTTTTTTTGGACATGATAAAGAAGACAACTAATGAGAGATATATATTCGAGAGATATTGGAGAGATGTTAGTGTGGCCTAGTATGGTATTGCAAGAAAAATAAATTATGGATTCGAATTTCGCAACTTTTTAAAGGTTTCTTATATTTTATATGATTTGTTAGTCTTTGAATTTAGGAATTGAGCTATATATGTACCTTATGCGTAACAGATGTAATCTACATTGTGCACGGTGCAAAATGAATGTAATCTACATACCCTATGTATGTGGTTTTCATAGGTTTTAATAATTTCTAAAAATAGGAGCTTCTCAGTTTCCCAAGCAAAACCTCCCACCTGGCACCTGGGTTTGTAAGACCAATCCCTAGACTTAATTGGTTACCAAAGTCCACCACTGTCTTTGGCAATAAATCAATTCACACTTGCTTTTGAAAATTAAATTATTTGAAGAATTTTGGACGGCCAGAAGAAATGGTATGATTAAATTAGAAGTGCTAAATTTAGTATTAATAGTTTTTTTAACTTGTGTTTTAACAATGTATTTATTATATTTATTATATTTTTATTATAAATTTATATAAAAAATTATTTAAAAATTTTATTTTCAACACAAATATTATGTGAAATAATTTAATTAAATAATTAATAAAATTTAAGTTAATTTTTTTTATGTAAATTAATAATACAATATGTATTAATTACATTCTTAATATATTTCTTAAAGGCACAAGTTAAAAATCTTTTTTATAATTAGTTGAAGGTGGTAGGGCCAGTGTACTTCAAAATGAGGAAGGGGGGTCCAAGAACAATGCACATGATCCAGATGCAGATGTGCCTACCCTAAATATTGGTTAAGGGTAAAATTGTTAGTAATCCAATCAGACACGCTTCAGCTGTATTATTCTCTTAAGCTGATCAATCTGACAATATTGGACAAGATCATTCTTTTTTTAACTAGATGGAACCTATGGTTAACTTAATCTGTCAGTGTCGTTTGTGCCAAACTTCTTTTTTTTTTGGTAAAATCATTTGTGCTAGACTTTGGAGATGGTATCTACTTCATAAAAGAACAAAAAATGTTACTACTATCAGTTTGGGTTAAAAACAATGTTATTAATGAATCAAGTACACTTGTGAACTTTTTTAATAATATTTTCATCATTTTTAACTTGAATTGAACCATTTTTTTTATGAACTTGCTCAGTTGAAAAATTGAAAGTTGTCCAATTGAAAAATTGCAAACTAATTTAAAGCTAACATCATTTAAGTATGGTTAATAATGTAAATAATTTAGTGATAATTTCATTCTCTTAGAAATAAAAACTTTTAAGTTTGAATTGCATGATATTTAAGTGGAGTGAGTCAAGGGATGTGAGAAAATTATCTCATATTGTACAACCCAATATATAAAAAAAAAACACTTTTTAAGTATGAACACAAATATTTTTACTTATATAAAAAATGATTGGTACACATTTAATTTAATACATTTTTTGGTACTTGTTTCAATTCAACTATTAAAATATATATGTATAGTTAATTTAATTGATTCTTATATTTTATATACATAATCACATTTTTACATTTATTTGTCTTTAATTTTATGTAAAAAAATATTAATTTTTTAATAAATATATAATATTATGTATTAAACTAAAGTGTATATCAAATAATATTCGTACCATATATACCTTCATGGTAAATTTGAGTTTCAACAACATAATTATATTACTTTGGTATTTGGTTATGAGTACAAATATGAACAAGTTGCATAAAATGCAAAACTGTTGGCCCTTAAATATGCTAAAGTAATTAGCCTAGAAAAGGTCCAACAGAGGGGGACCATGGTCCTCAAATTAATGAGAAATATGTCTTGACATGGACAATGCATTAAAGAAGAGTTCAAATATAAAGTCATGGAGAGAGCCGATAATTTGGACTAACTTTGTGATGGGGCTGATCAGTTTTTTACCCCAAAGTTATTTACTTTTGTTAGGATTCCAGTCTCCACTCTGACATTCACATGATTGGGTCTAGCCTCCCAGGGGCTTTTCAATTTAATTACTTGAATTAAGCTCAAAGTAACATGTTAGTTCAATCATGGGTTCGTGTATTATTGGCTTTGATACTCTTGAATAATGCAGAATTGCAATCATCAAATTAAATTTTAGGGACAGAA